TCCTCCCTTCCCGTCTCCAGCCCCCAGCCTGGGCACGGATTCGGTCCGGATGGCAGACTTCCCCAAGCGTCGGGTGGCCGCGCAGGACGGGAGCGCTTCGGGCTTCGGGGCGGCCTCTCCAAGGAGGCACCGGGCCCCGAGGCTCCCACCACCAGTCAAGGGACTCGGAGGGAGAATCCAGGCTCCGGACCCTTCCGTGCCAGCTGGACTCTTCTGAGCGCCCCACCCGCCTGCCCTAACCCTTAAAACGACAAGGCTGAAGCCGGCGCTCAGGGCCGCCGTCCTTCTGGCCAGCCTTCCCCAACCGGCGCCAACACGTGCGAGCCAACACGGGCGGAGGGCAGCGGCGTGGGCGCGATGCTTGCGCGACCGGGTAAGAGCACCCCTGGCCACGCCAAGCCCAGGAGCAGAAGTATACGTAGGTTCGCTGGTAGAAGGCACGGTTCCTGCATCACATGTTGAGCCTGTTCCCTAACAGCTCTAAGTGGCCCTTGGACCGAGAAGCAGAAAGTTCCGTCTCCTCGAATGCAACTTCAGCAGTCTGAGCTGAATGAAGGAGGCCATCCCTGGAGAAATACTACAGCTCCAACCTGCATCTCTCGTTGGGCTACAGTTTCCATCATCCCTGACAAACGCAGTAATTGGTGGCATATAAACGTTAAATTATATTAACTTTCAATTAGATTATGTAAACTGTAGAGTCAGTAGCTGGCTTTCTGCTCACATGGGAGTCGGCAAGTGTGACTCAATAAAATTGATAATCACTTTACATCAACAACTGAGTGAGGAGCTAAAGGTGGCTAATTGATTGGCAGAGCGCACCTGCAATCCTGTGCGCACCAAGACTTGCTTCTGAGTAGACCCATCTAGAATTACACTGCAAATGTCAATGACTGTAAGCCCAAGAACATTCACAATTATCACTGACCTCGCATTTGTTTAGAGTACTTGAAGCACCATTTTGTAAGTATACACAATTAGGTGGAGTGTTCAGGGAGACTTTTACTTCAAGTAAGCACGCACACACACACACACACACACTCAGGGAGACTTTTACTTCAAGTAAGCACACACACACACACACATATATACAGTATTTGGTCTCCGTTTTCCTCTTTCTCACTTAACACTAGAGATAAAACTGAGTTGCATTACGTTTAATGTTATTTACAGCTGGACAGCTCCTTGCATTAGCAGTCAAAGGGCACCCTGAAGTTGTTCTTTCTCTTCCCCCCAGAGAGGGATTTGTGGTAAGGAAAAAAATGACTAGGTCTATATCCTTCATAAAATCCAATGTTTTGACCATTTCAGCAACGTGGAGAGGGGAGATTTGCTGCTTGGGTAACAGCCTATCCTCCATACTACTTTACCCAGGCTTCATGCTCTGGAGAGGACACTTCTCGATATAGAGCATGTTAGCCTGAACTTCAAAGCAGCTATGCAGGTAAGGAACCTATTTTGAGGATAGGGTTTGGCACCCTAAATAATACTTGTAAAGCCTGGATCAAAATCAAGAGTGGATTTACTGCTCTACTTGACACTGGAATTACTTGACTCCACTGTTGTTAGTACGTATAAAAATTTACAGATTATGTTGTAAACAGCTTCCCTTTCTCTGATCAATCATGGCTCATACTCTTGAGTCATGGCATGAAATTTGGTATTAGTGCTTTCAAACACCACCTTTCTCAGCAATTATGCTACTAAAACAGGAATTTGTCAGAAAATATTTCAAGTATCAGCCAACAAAAGGGCCAATCTCCTCATTTCTGTACCTATTTTTTTATTTACTATCCCGTTTCTTTCTCGTAAAAAGCCAAAAGCTACTCACAGCTTTCTAATAATAAATCCTAATCCTAAAATTGTAAATATATAACAAAATATAATGAAACATCTTCAAAGATAGACAGATAAACTAGCCCGTACCCACAAATCTGCATGAATAAATGTGAGTTCAGCTTATGCCTGAATGACAACAGCATGGAGGCCAACCTGATCTCAATGAGGAGGTAGCTCCATATCTATGATGACATCACTGAGAGAATGCCTCTGTGTGACAGCCTTCCAGGGTATATTTGCCCATGGCATTATAAGCAGAGACTCCCTGGCCAGTCTTAAGTCCCAGTATGCAGTAAAAATTTTAATTTAGGATTACTAACCTGTTCCCACAAAAATAAGACCTAACCTGAAAATAAGCCCTAGTATGATTTTTCAGGATGCTCGTAATATAAGACCTACCCCAAAAATAAGCCCTAGTTAAGTGAAACCCTGCCCTCCACCATTGTGCAGCAACCAGAAGATGACATGACTGTATTTGAATAATGGTAGTTTGTGGACATAGAAAAAAATAAAACACCCCCTGAAAATAAGCCCTTTTGGAACAAAAATTACGGTAATATAAGATCCTGTCTTATTTTTGGGGAAACATGGTAGTACTTCCTAGCTCCTTACATGAGAGATTTGTCTTTAGTGAGAGTTGTTTACACTTCATGCGTAGTTTAAGACAGAATGCTAAGGGTAAACCAGGCTTAGAGTGAACCTGCTCTAATACTGCTTGTGTTAAAACATGCTTGGCCCTAACTCTGCATTATTTTGATAGAGTCGAGCCTGTTTCTTTAAAACTGCAGCTTTACTAGGGTGTAGTTTATTCTGCCTTCATACTTTAAAAAAACCCTACAATATGTGTTTCAAATCTGGTTACTGCTCTCACAACCAGTTAAAAATATTGAGAGAAAACTTTGGTGTAAAGGGATATTTTTTTCTTTGAAATGAGAGGAGCACACAAACCATTGTGCAGATAGTAAACAACGGACGCATTGTTGGAAATATGAAAGTCCCACTCCATCCCCCAAAACTATATATATCACTGGGGCAGAAGTTTTTAATTTGCCCCTGGCTAATTTTAAAATAAAACAGACCCTGGCAATTTATGGTGCTATTATGGTGAGAGAGAGGGGGAAATGGATAATTTTCTTATCAATCTACCCTGTTTCCCCGAAAATAAGACCTAACCCGAAAATAAGCCCTAGTATGATTTTTCAGGATGCTCCTAATATAAGCCCTACCCAAAAATAAGCCCCAGTTGAGTGAAACCCTGTCCTCCACCATTGTGCAGCAACCAGACGAAGATGACATGACTGTATTTGAATAAATGTAGATTGTTGTATAGGGACGTCGTGGTGCTGTGGGTTAAACATCAGAAGCCTCTCTGCTGCAAGGTCAGAAACCAGCAGTTGTAAGATCAAATCCACGCGACAGAGTGAGCTCCCATCGCTTGTCCCAGCTCCTGCCAACCTAGCAGTTCGAAAACATGTAAAAATGCAAGTAGATAAATAGGTACCACCTTGGTGGGAAGGTCACAGCGTGACACGTGACCACGGAAACTGTCTTCTGACAAACTCTGGCTCTATGGCTTGGAGACGGGGATGAGCACCGCGCCCTAGAGTCAGACACAACTGGACTAAATGTCAAGGGAAACCTTTACCTTTACCTAGATTGTTGTACATGAACAAAAATAAAACCCTAATGAAAATAAGCCCTGATGCTTTTTTTGGAGCAAAAATTAATATAAGACCCTGTCTTATTTTCGGGGAAACATGGTAATTATCACAAGCTCACATGCAAACTGTAATTCAGTGTGGCTCTCCTAGGAGTTACTGGTATCTACTGTCATCTGCATCTGTTATTTCCTGTGTTGCCCTTGTTGTTTCCAATGGATATGTTTGCTGTTTGTTTTAGATTATAGCTACCTCTGACCTTTGAAAAGTTATATTTTTTGGACTACAATTCCCAGGATCTTCTAGCCAGCATTGTTACTGGTCCTGGCAGCTGGGGGATTTGGGGAGCTGTTATTCAAATAATAATAATTTTTCCATACTAATGAACTTCTTTGTTTAGAAAAGTAACCTTTTCATAACTACGAAACCTTATTAATTCTTCTCTACCCAATCCCACCCATAAAAAAATCAGTTTCCCATGTTGTTGTGTAAGAACAAAAATACATAAATATAGACAGGAATACAATATCCACATAGAATTTTCCAAATTATGAGATGCAAAAAGAGAGAGAGAGATGATGAAATTTGCTCCTTTTATCCAGTGGAAATCAAGACCAAGCATTCTGTGAAACAAGTAAGTCCAGGGGAATGCACAACATCTATTAAGCACCAAAAGAATGGGAAATTTGACCCTGCATGATTTAAGTCAGCAGTGGACAAAGGGCAAACCTCCAGATGTTGCTAGACTACAACTCCTGACAGTCCTTGTCAACACAGCCAATGCTAACGAATGCCAAGAGTTAAAGTCCCAACATCTGGAGGACCATTCTTTGTGCACTCCAATGTAATTTGTCAAAATGTTCCTGCATTTTCTCTTTACATAGGATGAAAACTGAGAATCAACTTCTTTTGTGACTCTGTTGTCTCCAGACTCATATGACACAGTACCCTGTTTCCCTGAAAATAAGACCTAACCTGATAATTAGTATGATTTTTCA